TTGCCACCTACAAGTTCAGGTTGTTCCTTTTCATGGGCTCTAAGAGCAAGAATGAAGGTGGTAAATAGTTTTTGTTTTTTATTTTTTGAGACAAGGACTCACTCTATAGCCCAGGTGTGCTTAGAACTTACTGGACAGTCCATTATGGCCCCCAAAACTTTATTTGTTCCAACAAACCCACCCAAATGCTTCAGATTTTCTACAGAAACCCTTTAGCCAGATTTCACAGGAAGGATGGCTGTACATTTTGTGTCTTCAAAAATGTTCATCTGTAAACATCTATAAATTCTCTCTGTGTACATCTTATGTCAGGCTACCCCATTACTACTTGGCTAAATATATGGTTGTTGAATTGTTGAATTCTCTCTGAAACTTGAGCTCTATCAGGTTTTCTTTACTTTTTTTTTGACTTGAAAGTTGTATAAATCCAGATCCTCTGGTAGCTAGAGAAAACTCACAATTGCCGTGTCCCTTTTCTCTTGGGAGTACATGAGTAAATATTTAATGGTTCTTTTCTAGCACAGCATGAATGCTTAAAATATTAATTGTGGTCTGCCAATTGTGTGGTTGTTGGTACCCTTCTCTTAAGAATAACATTTCTGAATACTGCTTGGTGGTATAAAACTAGATCTATTTTGAGACTGCAGAGATAGATGGCTCGGGGTTAAGAACACTGGCTGCTGTTGCAGAGCACCTGGGTTCAGTTCTCAGCACCCACATGGTGACTAATAATCATCTGTAACTCCAGTTCCAGGGGATCCAATGCCCTTGTTGACCTCGGGGCATTGCACAACATGGGTGCACTTATACACATGCAGGCAATATACTCGTTCGTACACGTAAAATAAAGATAATAAATAAAATATTTTAAAAAACTAGACCCACTTCTAATGGAGACTTTTTCGTGTGTGTATATGTCATATGTTGCTTGGGATCAAACCTACAGTCTTACATATGCTTTGTAGGTAAGCACTTTGCCACTGAGTTATATCCCCATTCTTTAGTGGAGACATTTAAAATGTTGATACGATTAGAGTCAGAAAAAGTTTATCTCTGGGGGCACTGGCAGCATGTCATTTATGTTCTATTTACATTCGTGGAAGTTAAAAAACTACCCTGTCTGATTTTTCATGCTAATAACTTGACTCTTTTGAAACATTAAAGTGGGTTGAGAGTGGGAGGGTGCTCCAAGTCCAGTTAGAAGGCAAGATCCAAGTAGCACTGAGAGGACATTGTGAGGTGAAACATTCTAATGCCAGATCACTAACGTTTTAAGCCAGGAAGTGTTGGAATTACCATTCTCTGTGTTAACTACTTCTTCTCGTCCATTGGAATCTCCTGTGTAATTTTAAAAATTGCATGTCAGACCCATTAAATCAGATTCTCTAGAGCTGGAATG